AGGACATGAGGATGTTTTGTCCACTTTTCTGTTCTGTATTGTACTGGGGAGTGTTTTCTATCAAGTCATACTTCTGTCTGTCAACTTTCCTCTTGGATCTCAGACAGTTTATCTGTATTTATTGAAAAGTTTACATCAAGGTCTTCTTGACCATTTCTGACTACAATTACTATCGATGAAGTGTGTTAACATGGTTAAGTTACATTTCTTTCAGCATGTTAGGTAATGAACATGATGAAGGTAGTGATATTAAGAATAATTGTGGGTTTCAGATATTTTCCTGGTAAAGTCTACCATGTATACCACATCAGTAAGCATCTGTTTGTAAGAGATGTCATCTATATTTCACAGCACATGTAACTGGATGCTTTTTCATTCAAGAATGTTAAGCATTTGCTCTGTCTAGTAGGTAAACTATAGAACCTGGTGGCTCTGCTTTGTTGAGAACAGTAATCAAGAATTGGAAGTTAATGCTGATATGGGGATTGTTTATTGAGTCAGCACCGATTTCCATCCTAATCATTGAATGAGGCTATTATGATTATTTTGAATTTGCTTTAAAATCTTTAATGAAATCTGTTGAGTAATATTGCTTTCTGTATCACAGCTGTAACAATTTATATTTCAATGTATTGAAAATTGCTTCCAGGCCTGATAACTGAAAGGCTGCAGTTGTGACATTCAGAGGAAGGATTATTAGTAGCTATGCTCTCCTTGGCAAGCCATCACCAACTCCTTTGAGAATCGATACAAATCAGGAATATTTGCCCACCCTCGTCATGTTTGTGTCTCTCTTCACATGTTTCACATTTGAATTTATTCCATTGTGTCTTATGAAGAAATTGATGTTCACCACTGTCACACAAAATTTACATAATTGGGATATAATTTGGCAACATTGTGTAAAAACAATAGTATACTTTTTGCTAAATTGGATTTGTGATTGAAGGAAATTATTCAATTAATTTAACATTTCTACGAAAATAGATCATTGGATGTTTTTTTATGAATATAGTTTCAGTGTGTTATCATGGTTATAGTCTTCGCTGAAATAATTTTTCCCAACCTTTCTGCATCATGTATATTTAATAGTGATAAACATCGTAAAATGATTTATGGTTTTTGCCAAAATATGCAGTGGCGGATCAAGAGAGGGAGGGGAGGGGGTGTCAGGGGTGGCCAACCCACTCCTTTTGAATGTCTGATGACATTTTCTATGCACATTTCCTACCATGATAACAAAGTCATGGTGTTTGGGTGATAAGTAAACTGGTGAATTATATATGGGCATAAGTGAGTGAAAGCAAGCTAAAAATAGCTTCCAATTTACAAGGATAAGGATTAAGAAAAGAAATTGTTTTAGCCCCAAAGTAACACAAATCTTTTTCTATTTTTTGAGTAGGTTACCGGTGTTGATGTTATCTCTTCTCAAGATACCTAAGCACAAAACAATTTCATCTCCGCTTGTGTACCTGCTGGAAGTAGATATCTTATGTTTGTGCAGCCAGTCATCCCTCCATCAATTATCCATCACTGCTTGCTTGTGTGTGCAGCTGCCTGGAGAGCAGTGTGCCATGTTGCACAGCCATTAACGTCACCCACTTACAGCAAGTACAGCCTGCACAACAGTTGGATTGTATGGGACCGCCTCCATGGTGTTGTGGTAGAGCCTCTGCCCAGAGAGCAGAAGGTCAGGGATTTGATCCCTGGCCACATCATACCAAAAGACGTTAAAGATGGTACTTGTTGTTATCCTGCCTGGTGCTAAGCATTAAGGGGGTAAAACCAAGACTGGTTGGCTTGGCATCAGTATACTGTGTCTGAGTGGGGAACTGTAAATCATGAAATTAATGCTTCGCCAAAAAGAATGCGAACACTGACCCCTGGCGAAAAATGTGACTCAATATGAATGCGATAAAAGCGACTATATATAAATGCGATAAATGCGACCCAATATGAATGCGATACGTTATGGATATGTTATCTAAAGAAAATGTCCTCTGTCAGGTTTACAGGATAATCTTCACCTTAAACCAACCTTACATTAATCCAATCACACACCAAATAGAACTGCTTACTAGCGCTGAGTAGTGTACTTCCGCTAAAACAATACATGCGCGCTGGCTCGTGTCGGCCTTTGACACAGTCACAAAGAACAAAGACACTGTGTTGTGTGGATGACGTCTGTCTGGACTTGCAGGTGTGATCAGTGGTGACATAAGTGAGTAGAACTGTTGTCTTGACCCCAGCAGTGACCATGGTGACAATTCACAGGATGTAATTAGTGTTTGAATGACATTGTTTATATACTTGTTACAAGTGCTGCTCAATAAACAGTGATGTGGTATACATAGTTGTTTGTTTTCAGCGTATGCCTAAGTTGGTATTTCTGCTTTCTAAAATGTCTTATTGTTGATATAAATGCGTTGTTTAATGATGCTAACCAAGACCACTCGCATTCTTCGCATTTATTTCAAGATTTACAGTATTCATGTTAACCTGTGGCATGTTATCTCAGTGGGCTAGCAATATAAAATCGGCATTAGTCCGGACTAGTACTTAATTTGGAGAAAAAATCTGGCATACTTCAAAATACCAAATTTGTTCTCCAAATTAAGTAAGCCACCCTAAAAAGCCCCACCTAGGTTGCCTCACCTTTTCGGACATACCCTTTTTGACCAAACACCAAATGGCCTGGCGGGCCTGTGCGCGAAATATGCATATGTCGGAACGCGCACGTTAAATTCCTAATTTTATGTAAGTAAGTAAGGACTAGTACAAGTAGCCAAACACACACTTGCATGCAGGTTGCTAGATGAGGGCAATAATCTAGAATGCGACGTCAAACCCCATTTAACCTCAGCTGCATTTTATGGTCAATGGTGACTCATTCTGCATCAGGGGGTTAGGTTTTGGTGCGAGTGTGTGTGTGTGTGTGTGTGTGTGGTGTGTGTGTGTGTGTGTGTGTGTGTGTGTGTGTGTGTGTGTGTGTGTGTGTGTGTGTGTGTGTGTGTGTGTGTGTGTGTGTGTGTGTGTGTGTGTGTGTGTGTGCTTGCAAGCATGTGTGTGGGGTGTGTGTTGGTGTTGATGGGTGAGGTGGGGGGGGATTGGGGTGTAGGATATAGGATGTCGGTGTGTGTCTGTAGGGGGGTGCTATTATGACATTTGCCTTTATACTTTTCATAAAGACTCCAAGATTTGTAGATGTAGAAGAGGAAGCTGACATGGTTGAAGGTTTTACTGCTTTCATGTATTGATGGATGGAACTGGATAAGACCTACTTGTCTAAACTAAAACTGTCTGCTGTATATCAGTTGTTCCCACATTCCCTAGTATATTCATGTAACAGTGTGGTAACATAATATGACAAAACCATGAAACTGACACATATCAAATTGCTTGTGGCCATCCATACTAGTTATTCTTACCGTATTCAACATAATTTAGGCTGTGCTTCAATAGGAGTCCTCACATTGCATGTTATTTCACTCAGCCATTGTTGAAAGAGGCTCAAACATGGAACTGTTCAGAGGGACCTATAGCATGTATGGTATCATCTTGCAGAAAGGAACAAACAATGCAAGGCATAGTATATCATTTATATCATGGTATATATTCAGCATGTTTAGCAAGTATAGCTAGTTTAGCTTCATCAACAGTATAAAAAACAGAATAGATATTTCTACAATGTTCTAGGCATGTATCATTTGACATGACTGGTTTAGATTAATGGTAGTGATCAAGGGTTAACCATTTTGTACCCCAAGGTATGAAATGAATAGAGAAACTTATAGCCTTATCTTTCCAGAAGAGTGACCACAGAACATGCAAAGCATCAAATAAATTAGCTGCTTGTGTTTGTTTGCAGAATGTATAAAGCATTAGTTCGTTTACCAATATGTTGTGACAACCTGTTGATCCGGATGGTCGCATTCCAAACAGTGTTCGTAATATACTTTACTGCAATCTTTCCCTGTTTTTCTTAGATGTATATTGACCAATTTAATTAGAATTACTACTAAAACATTGTCAGAGTAAACACTGTAACGCTGATAATTAAGAGTTAAGACCTTGCGGGGACCTTGGTTAGATAAGGTGGATCAGGTGGGTCAGGTTGGATGACTTGGTTGATTATGTGTCATACCTAATGGTGTGGGACTCACATAATATTAAAGACTGGTTTGTGTGGACTAGACTTGATTATTTGCAGGCTACTGTGATATAGCTGTAAGTATTGCTGACTGCAGTGAAAAACAGCAAGCAGACAAATCAACAAACAACGAAAATATTAAGTAAATTTTATCATAAGCCTTAAACTACATGGCGTACTACACCTAGACAATGGTAAACATGAAAGTAGACACGAACCATCTCATGCTAACATGTCAGCTCATGAATCATTGGCCATGCATATCTCACAGGAGACCATAGATGTTGAGAAAAGGTTGGCTTCTTTACACATTTGCATCATGATCGTGATGATGGTTTACAACCTTCTTTCATCATATATGTGGAATCAAAGAAACTTATTGAAGAGTACAGCAGCTGGCATGCCTTGGTTTCATGTGTTACCTTGTTTACTTCCATTATGCTTTGATAAATGATGTGATAATTCAATTCTATGAGTAAACAGGATACTCAGTGTCTGAAAGAAGGCAACAGTGATGATTGTTTGTCATGATGTGTATTCCTACATATAACATTTGTATAAACCCATCCCATGTATAATATGTTGAAGTTGGGGTTCAAAGTCACTCACCCTACTCACAAAACATCTCACACAAGGGAAGCATATTATTTTGTCTAACTCACTCACTCTACTCACACAAGTGAAGCTTATTTTTTTGCATGGCCAGCTTTGTGATGTACCAAAATGGAAGATGTAATGTAGCTCAGCCTAAATATGTTAAAAGTTGGGGTTTCAGGATAACAATCCAAGATAAATCCGCAACCTGTCAGCTGAATGATGATGTTAATTGCTCTGTTGCTGTCGTCTCCAGATCACAACCCTTGTCAACCATAAGGAGAGGACTAAAGTCACAGACAAGACTCAGAGAGCTTTGGTCCGAGTTGGGGAGGCAGTCAATCTCGCAGTCGAGCGCTTCACTACCGTAGGCGAGTCGATTGCTGTGGAGAACCCAGAAATCCGAGATGACATGTGTGAAGCTTGTCAAGAGGCTAGAATAGCAGGTAGGAGTGGCACCAGTGGGGTTGGATAATGCACCACTTTGTCTTTTGCCTGATCGTGCCGATGATGCATTATCACATGGTGACTGGAGTCTGTTGTGACATGACATGTGATGCATTACCACATGTGAAGTAGGATGGAATGTGATTGATGGTGAAAGGAGATTTAGATTAAGGATGGTATTGTGAACAATTGTCACTGACACCTCTGTCAAGGGCTTGTGTCATGTTATGGCTGATGTTATGTTGAAGTCCAACATTAGTACTAGTACTTGTGGAGAAAATGGAATGATATAGAAGTCATGATTTCATAGTTGCCTTTATTTAAGTATATTCAGCAAAAAAGGGAGCATTGTTCTTCTTCAACCATAAATCAAATGTAAATTGTTTATTCTGTTGGATCACTAATTTCCCCTTTCGGTACAGTCAATCTTTCCTTGGCAACGCTGCAGGTGATCTGCAAAATTGTTTTTTGTTGTTGAAAGTACAACTTTGAAATACAGTCAAACCCTGTTGTCTTGAACCCCCTTGTCTCGAATGCACTGATATATAAATGTATGTTAATTTTATGATTTCATGGATTTCAATTGATCATCCAATATACAGTGAAGACACTCTCACCCTGATCATAATCACTGGTGACATCACAGTACACATGTTGTCAATTTGCATAACTGGGCGACAGAAGAACATATACATTAGTGAACTCAATAATTCATCTGAAAAATCCTATTCCATATCTTTTGAAAGATTATTTAACTTACTTGTACGAAGGCACTGTCACTGTCATTGTATTGTCACGGTTATTATACTGAAATATTGGTAAAGTGGTGAAGATAACAGAGACGCTGACTGACAACATGTTATGGCACAATCCATCAGTGTCCATCAGATATGTTCCCTATTTTGAAAGTTTTTATATTCAAGACATGCACCATATCAGTCAAGATTTGCCTCAGTCACTGAAATGCTGAACAATTTCTTTTCTTCGATAGGCATATATGATAGTGTATTACCCCCTCCCGCATCTTCCCGAGGCAAGAGAGTTAACTGACTTTAAAAGTCCAGTTTCCACCCTTGCCAAACTAGCCTGGCATTATGGAGTTAGAATTTGGCTGGACTAACGAGTCTATGCATAGTCCAATCAAAATCGCGCATTGAAATAGAAATCCGGCTCATAAACTGTCATGCAGATTTCGTTCGATTGCAGGATTTGCAAAGCATATGCACTGCCAACTCGTCAACAGATATTTTCGAAATCTTTTCATGTTTTTAATCAAGGTGCACACGTGATTTGATGCACTTCGCGATGTAAGACCCGTTTTATCACAATATAGATCTTGATTATCAATTAGATCGGCTTGACTGGGAGCCGCCATTTTGTTTGAAGCACATGCAAGTGATACGAGAGGTGGAATCTGATTGGTCCATAGGAGAGGCATAGAAGGGACATAACTCGAAAAAGCCACTGGTGGCGCTACAATTGAGCCCAGGAACTCCAGCCTAGTTCGGCACAGGTGGAAACTGGACTTTTACAGTCAGTTAATTCTCTTGCCTCAGGAAGATGCCCCTCCCATTACATTTACAAGAAATAGTATCATTTTTAATACACCAATTGTATTTGTAGTTTTCTTAGTAGCCCATTAATCAAAGAATTGACACACAGTTGCAATGTTTTAACAATGAATTGACATACAGTTGCACTTTAAACAAAGCGTTGACATACAGTTGCACTTTGAACAAAGAATTGACACAAAGTTGCAATGCTTTAACAATGCATTAACATACAGTTGCACTTTGAACAAAGAACTGACACACAGTTGCAAGGCTTTAACAATGCATTGACATTCAGTTGCACTTTAAACAAAGCATTGACATACAGTTGCACTTTGAACAAAGAACGGACACACAGTTGCAAGGTTTTAACAATGCATTGACATACAGTAGCCCATTAATCAAAGAATTGACATGCAGTTGCACTTTGAACAAAGAATTGTTTGCTACTGTTCGCGATATTTAACCATTGAGAAATGTTAATGTTATGCTAGCAATGTATGCTATTTCTGTGTACTAGGTGTATGTTATTTCTGTATATCCGATATGTATGTTTTTCAGTACATCAGATATGAATGTAACAATCTCATTAAAATCAGAACTTTTACTCTCTGCATGAAGATCTGAGGATACCTCTGTAGACATGTAGAACAGCAAAAGGTTGCATCAGGTGAACTTTCTACTCGGATGCTTCTAAATTCTCAATGTGTGAGCAATGCATTCAACAAAAGCATCTCTGATTTATGTGTCTTTAAAACAAATATTTAGGAAATCCAAACAACAGTGCCAAATGCAAACAAATAATGCAGCACTATTATATCGTCTTGGATATTTTATAGATTATGTCATTTCTGAGTGCCATGGCATCAACACACAAAAGAGTGAAGTATCGAAAGTATATTTGTGTTCTGTGGCTATTTATATTTGGCAGAGATCACAATTTCCAAATTGACATCTGATTGGCTCAAGAATCCATGTGTGCTTCATTTTGATTGGGTGGTAAATGATTTGATTTTGATGTGATTGTGAATATTAATTCTGTATGTCAGCTATGTATTGTATTTCTGTATGACAGATGTGAATGTCATTTCTGTATCCACTGTATGTGTCTGTCCAGGCTCCAGCATCCAGACTCTTACAGCTTCAGAGCAGCCCAATGATGGCACGCCAAAGGCAGTGGCGGACAAGACCGCAATGGTACGGGCAGCGAGGCAGCTTTTGTCAGCCATCACTAAAGTGCTGCTGCTGGCAGACAGGGTGGTGGTCAAACAGTTGCTCATGGCCAAGGACAAGGTAATCTCACTTTCAGATCTTTTACTTTCACTGGTCCTGGAACATGTCATCCTTGAACATGTCATCCTGGAACATGTCATCAGACACTTATATTTTCTCATTGTTCACCTAGGATTTTGTAAAGGAAAAATTGTGGAAAGTCTGCTGACTTGCCTAGTGGAATTTGAAACAATAGTGCTTTGGCTAGATCTGTCCAAAGCTTTCTCTCTGAACTGTTGTTATGCCCTGGTATTCCTGGAATATCAATTTACAGTTACTAGTCTAATCTGTTTGGCCAGCACTGTGACAATACTATTTTTTTCAGGTCCTCTTTAGTCTAAACAACTTAGAGGATGTGTCAAGTTTTCCTGATTTCGTCTCCGGCTTCACACAGTTTGGGAAGGACATGGTGGAGCTGGCTCTACTGTCTGGGGAGAGACAAAATGTGAGTCTCTCACCTTCATGTGGCTGTGTAGGGTGGGCATAGACAAAATGTGGCTCTCTCGCCTTCATTGTGATTGTAGGATGGGGGATAGACAAACTGTGACTCTCTCGCCTTTATTGTGAATGTAGGATGGGGGATAGACAATGTGTGTCTCGCCTTCATTTTGGCTGTGTTGGGTGCAGATAGACAACATGTGTGTCTCTCGCCTTCATTTTTGCTGTGTTGGGTGGGGATAGACAATATGTGAGTCTTTTGCCCTCATTGTGGCTGAGTAGGATGGGGGATAGATGAAATGTGAGTCTCTCGCCTTCATTGTGACTGAGTAGGGTAGGTATAGACAAAATGTGGCTCTCTCACCTTCATTGTGATTGTAGGATGGGGGATAGACCATGTGTGTGTCTCGTGCCTTCATTTTGGCTGTGTTGGGTGCGGATAGACAACATCTGTGTCTCTCGCCTTCATTTTTGCTGTGTTGGGTGGGGATAGACAATATGTGAGTCTTTTGCCTTCATTGTGGCTGAGTAGGATGGGGATAGACAAAATGTCTCGCCTTCGGACAAAATGTGAGTCCCTCCCTTTCATTGTGGCTGTGTAGGTCGGGGATAGACAAAATGTGAGTCCCTCCCTTTCATTGTGGCTGTGTAGGGTGGGGATAGACAAAATGTGAGTCCCTCACTTTAATTGTGGCTGTGTAGGGTGGGGAGAAACAAATTTAGTAGGGATTCAGCATGTTCAGTACTAATGTCAAAGACTTCACAGGATTTCCCATTGTATGACAAGGACAATAAGGGGATATTACTTTCTTTTCAAGTTAGTTCTTAAATAACTTAAATGTTTGTGAATGTAAGATAGGATTTGTATATGAAAATGCACATTTTAAGGAGTTTTAACAGTAATCTATACTTGCTGCATTTTTTGCAAACAGAATGTTATGGTTATGAACCAGTACCACAGACTGACAGATTTGCCTCCCAGACATATAGGGCATTATCATTAGTATTCATCAGGTTCATGTGTTGCTATTTGTTCTGATAATGACAAGGATTACTAGATAAGATAGCTCATCTGTATTCATGACATGCGTTACTGCTACCAAGCTAGAAGCATGATGAAGAATAAACAGCATTAGTATCCTGGCAAGTACATACCGACACTGAGCTGTGTTATATCACAGCTCTAGACTGGAAGTAATAAGGAGCTTAAGAGTCCTTCTACTGTCTTGTAACTCATACAGATATTGATAGATTTATGGACAATTGCTAATGAGAGCCAGGTTAAGTTTGATAACAAGCCAATCAGACGATACTAAGTAGGTCAAAGTTCACATGACCAGGTCATGGCTGTTTTGAAATTACTTTCAGGACTGTTACTTCAAGTGGCTCAAGTCATGTCCACAGTAGCAATTTAAGACCAGGCATATTAATGAGGTTAAAGGTTGGTTGATAATGATTATAACTGCCGTGAGACTGGTTTTGGGACAATGATTTGGACAAATATTGATCATGTTGACAGATAAGTTGGTTGGGAGCACATGTCAAGTTTGATTATAAGTTCAAGTATTACTTTTTGAGGTTGTTTGAGAACAACATTTGTATATGATATATGTCCAATTGCTAAGTGGCAGTGAGGCAGGCTAGTGGTTAATGTGTTCGTTGGCATATCAAACACCCAGTTTCAATTCTCTATATGGGAACAATTAGTATAGTCCAATTTTCATGTCTCTGCCGTCCTATTATTGGAATATTGATAAAATCAGTTTAAGACCTTATTAACTCACTACTCACTTGCTAAACCCCAGGGGGTAGAATAGGCCCCTATTTCCCCCTTGTCGTAAGAGCAGACTGAAAAAGGAATTGGTTGACTACTATGTATGATCTGGCTTATGGTCATTATACCCCAGTGCCATGGATGGTTCCTAATGGATTCAGATGCTGGTTTGCTTGGTCAGGATTCATTTTATGTACAGGTGGTTGATATAGCTGGTATTTTATGTAAAACAACATGCATTTACTCGCTGAAGTGTCTGATGTCTGATGAAGATGACACCAAACTGTCTGTAGCTTTGATAACAATCATCTGAGAATATTTGTACAATAGCATATAGAAATTATATTAAGACAATGTTCAAGTAATGTTGTGAATGCTTCCATGAAGTTAAAATGATGTTCCCCTGCAGGACCTGAAGAGTGAAAAACACCGTGCACAGATGGGGTCAGCTCGTGCCATCCTCGAGAAGTCAACCATGATGCTGCTGAGGTCATCAAAGGTAAAATATGTTGTGGTTGTTGTATGGGGTGACTATGCTACTCATTTGGATATTTTCATCTTCTGCAAAATATTTATGTATTCGTCACACCATAGGAATATAGAGATTTCTCTAGGTTTTTCCTGTCAATAGTCCTATATATTGTATACTTTCATATGTAGTCAATGTCCTTGGCATTGTGTGCTTAGTATTCTATTTTGGGTGAATGAGGTAAGCAGTAAATGTTTTAAGATTGACTGTTATATTGAAAATGAAGATAAGCTGGTTCCTTATGTGCAGGGACCTGTGAAGTTTCCGGGGTAGAATAGGTCTTCAGCAACCCATGCTTGCCGTAAAAGGTGACTATGCTTGTCGTAAAAGGCGACAAACGGGATCGGGTGGTCAGGCTCGCTGACTTGGTTGATGCATGTCATCGATCCCAATTGCGTGGATCGATGCTCATGATATTAATCACTGGATTGTCTGGTCCTGACTCGATTATTTACAGACCACCGTCATATAGCTGGAATATTGCTGAGTGCGGCGTTAAACAACAAACCAACCAACCTTAGGTGCAGGGGCGGTCGGGTAGCCTAGTGGTTAAAGCGTTCGCTCGTCATGCCGAAGACCCGGGCACGATTCCCGACATAAGTACAATGTGTGAAGCCCATTTCTGGTACCCCCCGCCGTGATATAGCTGGAATATTGCTAAAAGCGGTATAAAACCATACTCACTCACTCATCATGTGCATGGAATACACAGCATGCAGTCACTGGTCTGAATGGTTTTTGCCATGTCAGGTAAGGAGTGTTGGACTAGCAAGGCTCTGTTCATCAAACATAAACTGAATCAGTTATGCCATCACTCACAGACCTGCCTCCGCCACCCGGACTCTCAAGCATCTCAGCGGAACCGCGCCGGTGTCTTTGCCCAGATCAAGCAGTCACTGAATCTAGTCCAGCACATTGTCACTGATGGTGGCTACTACCCTGTCAACGGTCACACGTCGCCTACCACCAATGGGGATTCAGGAATAGGTCTTGCAGCTGTTCCTAGCACCAGTAGAGCATTCAAGGAGTTTGAGGTGAGTACGGTCAAACCATTTGCTGAAAGGTAGTCAACCCAAGTTTGATTTTCAGTGTCCAGCTAGAAGGGGTCAAACTTGAGTACAAAACCTCAATTATTTTAGAAAGGTAGAATGAGTTGAAAGGTTAGTAAATGTCTGATTAATCAGAAACAAGACATAATGAAAATAAGAATAAGATCATTTTGTATATATAATGAAATAAAACCATTTGGCATGCATCGCTGCAATGTTGCACTCATAGGTTTAGGTCAAGTCTCCAAATAATTTTGTTTGGAAGCCAATTATTTGACCCTCGGACATTGACTAAATGTATCTGGGAAAATTGATATTCACATCAAAATCAAAATACATTTGTTTCAGTTGACCTGCCCTTTAACAGATCATACTGAGCAATTTTGGAAAAGTGAGCTCTGTTTCAGACTTGTAATCTTTTAGAGGAAAATACCCTTTAAAGTAAAATTTTATTGTTTCTAGCTCTCATCCTGTATCCATGACAACCCAAAAAATACCTTTGTTTCTAAGATTGACCAAGAGCTATGCAAACCAGACAACTGTATAGAAATATTTTTTACCCCCAGGATCAAGTAGATCTGACACGTGTAACACTGATTGGCCCAGTCACAGAGGAGAAACTTCAAAGTGCCTTTGATTTTGTAATTGACACTGCCCAAGACTTCACTGACTCGGCCTACACATCCCACATGAACCGGGAGAAGATCCTGAGTCTCTCTGATACCCTCAAGGATGAGCTGCAGGACCTCCTCAAGGTTGGACAGAGTTTGGTGAGTTGCCCCGGGCGACCCAGCCCATGAACACTAGCACTGCTTAACACAAAACTGTAGGTGTGAAGGTTATTTGACATTTAGACTGACTGGTTCCTTCCCTCTGAATACATGATCATCTCCCATTTTGATGAAATGTGATGTTTTTTGTTTTGGAAGACAATCTTAAAAAAATGGTTGATTATTTTGATAATTATGCTTGGAAAAAAAGAAAATTCAATTTCATATGATAAATCTTATGGTGTAAATGAACAAAACACTTACTTTGATTGAATAATAGTACATTAATTTCTGAATTGTCTTAATATCCACATTTGTTTTGTGTGTATGCAGACGCCCCATTGCCTAAAGTTCACCTACAATTAGGTTTTCATCTTGGACACTCAGCTTAGATGTAACAAGAAATTGATTGTATTCACTTGTATGAAAATTTGTATTTATACATCATGTACAATGACTTTTCAGAATTCAAAGGACACACTGACACCAACCCAGGAACTTGAAACAGCCATTTTGAAAACTATTGAAGCATCCAAGTCATTTCGGAAGCAGGTGGGAGTTGTTAATTTGTTAGGAGCAAATTGATTTCTTTTTTTAATTTATCCTGCATTACTGCGTTATGCACTTACTGCTTACTTTTGATAGAAACGAAGCTGTGAAGGGTCCAGCTGATGAGAAAAAGTTGTTCCCCTGACAGAAGCAGGATCTCAGTCACCAGCTTTGGTGATGTCATGGAACTTCAGATTACTGTTGTTCACCGGACAGACATGTTGTACATCCAGTTAATTGCTGCTTTTGGCTGTACCCATGGTCTTCAAGTTTGCATTCAACCAAGTCTGTTTCTGCCTTGATGGTGGTCTCTTGGTTTGCGTTGTTTATATGCAATAATATTTATTTTAGCACTTGAAGTTGATAGTTTGTCAATGATTTTCACATGTTGTTGTTCCATTCTGCCGTCTTAAATCTGCAAATGTGTCACGTTTTTCGTGGCACACATTCTGTATTTCAGTGTTGGCTCGGTATTAGCACTGCGTACAAATACCTTTAGCCGTCTATTGGCGTTTATGGTGTAATACAATCTTATGATATGTTATGTATCCATTATCATGAACTTAAACCTTGTTTGTTCTCTATAATTGGCTATCATACTCTTAGCAACTTCTGCGTAAATTGTCTCAATTTATATTAGTTGCTTGCACTCTAAGCCATTTGTTCCGTTGCTATTGTGTAATATGTTGTCTATATTATAACGCAAATCCAGTATTTTAAGTTAAACCTTGTGTTACTGTGTTACATGTTGATTCCCAAATTTAAACAATAGGTTAATCCAGAAATCTTGACGTAAAAGAACTTAGTGTGAAACCAACAACCAACCAACAAGTGATGTACAATCAACAAATGTATTACAAAAATTCACAAGGTTTACAAATCAATACAAATTACAGTGGCAGAGAACAATAGTGTGGTAGTAAAATATTCAATGGGAAAATATTATATGATGGCAGTGGTCAGTATCAAATACAAAAATACAGCGGGGATAGCAAAAGTTAGTGGTTATTATAATATATATTCATCCACTGACGACAGTGTTCAAGCTTCCGTGATAGGGAATCAGGGATGATGAGCGATCCTCACATGAAAGCTGTTTTCAAAATAATGAAATATGTGATTAGGAAATGTGTGAGAGATACTTAAACATCCTCACATCTCCTTATATACAACATTCCTAACATTCAAGACAATTCTGTAAGGCTTAAAACAATGCTGGATGAGTCTCACCATTTCCAGAAGTTACCACATCTCTCTAGCGTCTAACATCTGACAACTGCTAACCTTAAATGGTACTACATTCCTGATGACTAATCACTGCCAATATACAATGCAATGAGCATCTACTGAATCTCAACAGAAACATAATAACACAGTTACAATAATTGGTAAACAATAAAATATACTGTCATTCTCTATAACACTTGTTCAATCTCTATAATTGGGTAATCTATCTATGTACAACTTCAACTTTAAATTAGCTTTTATTTTATGCTTGCTTGTTCATATTGCTCGGGGCAAAAAATCTGTCAAAGATCCTCACCCAGGAGGGGCTTGGGTACCCCATCCTCGTCACGAGTCCCGGGATTCATCATCTCCCGGTATGTCTTTCAGATAATCCAAGCGGCATTCCAGGAGCCGCTCTCCTGTCCCCACTCAGAGCACTACTTATCAGACTCCTCTGAGGTGTCGTTAGTTGAATCTTTTGACAAAACCCTTTGAGTGGGATATGCACCTCGGTCTTGCCCAGATGCCAGATTGATGGAAGACTGCCTATCAGCAATAGCACCCTCTCCTGGCTCAGGCATCAACAAGAGGGACACTATATAGTCACACCCTACTTTCATCCCACCTGACCCCATGTTGAAGGATATGGTCAGGACGCTGGATGAGGAAGATCTCCATAGAATGATAGGCTCGTCCAAGCCGATAACTATCAAGATCCCTGACTGACATTTTACTTTTACAGGCATTAGCCTCATCATTGGGCCATGGATCTTACCGAAACCAATGCCAACAGGATTGATCACTTCCAGATGGTCGTGGATTTTTCAACAGAGGCAGATTGACCACTTGCGCAATCGCCTCAAGGCAACGTTCAGCAGATGTCACCGCCATCCACCGTCCTATGGGTATCTGGCCTTGTCCAACTGGGATTCTGAGTTTAAGTGCTGGCTCCTATATCAGCAGTGGTCAGCTGCAACACTTTTTAATGGCCAGATTACTGACATGCACACCCAGGTCTCGTGTTATGCTGGTAACAAGACACTCAGGCTCTGGAGCACGTATCCCAGAAACTTGGCCTGCGCGCATCTAAGTCAGGCAACTATCGGCAACTCATCCCCTCAAGGACCAGACTATTGATAAATCTTCCTTTCATATTCCCACCTCCAGTCATCCCAATAGTTGATACACAAATAGGTTGGAGACTGGGCCTGTTTTGGAAAAATTGGAGCGGTATGGCAGACCCTTACTCTGTCAACAGCATAAGGTATGGGTACCACCTCAACTTGTTGGCAGACCCACCATTGACAACAGCACCTACGCTGTGGCTCTACCCCAGGAAACAGCATCAGCCTTTGGGGTGCAACCTAAAAGTCTGTTGAAGAGAGCCATAGAGCCTTAACGTGAGGTGATCACAGTGATCTGGTGCCTGCAGAATCAGGGGTCTCACACACACTCTCTTCTCATACACACTTTCAGGTTTTCAACCTGGTGGATCAACTGGGTCTGTGCTTCTGGTCTAGCACATATCCGGTTGTCGGAAAGTGCTGGCAGACACCCTATCCAGGCAAGACAGAGTGGCACCTATGGAGTGGAAACTCCACCCTGAGGCATTCCATCTCATATTGTCAACCAAAGATTGACCTATTTGCCACACGCCAAACCTGCCAGATCCAAACGTATGTCTTGAAGATAACAGATCCGCAGGCATGGGTGGTTGTGGTTGATGTGTTCAGCATCCTTTGGGAGGGGTTAAGAGTGTACACTTTTCCATCCCTGGTACTTCTACCCCAGGCAACCACACCCCACACTAGGCATCTTCCATCTGCATGCCTGGTTCATCTACAAAGATCCCTTGGCAAGAAAGGTTATTTGGCACAAGAGGCTAAGGCTATTGCTATAGCACATAGACCCTCAACTCAAGACCTTTAAAATGATAATTAGTATTGCAGGATAAGTATACAAATATGAAAAATGTCTAGATTTTACTAGAATTGTAGCTAAAATAAAATAACTTTTAGCAACTGTGACATTGCTCAGGAGAAGATGTGATAAGGTACCTGAACATGTTTTGAGAATCAGACTGTTATTGCAGCTACTGGACACAGCCATGGACCAGGCATCAGAGTTGTTCAAGATGAACGAAGACCATGAGCTGCTACAGGGTCTGCGTATCGCTGGCATGGGTGGAGATGTGGACCAGGTGGAGGAACTCACCATCAAGTTTGAGGAACACCAAGAACAGTTGGAGGAGGTGAGTATCAGGACTGATGGGTGTCAGGACAGGTGGAATGATGGGTGTCGGGGCAGGTGAAGGAGATGGGTTTCATGATTGATGGGTGTAAGAAGTATGGCTGTAAGGATTGGTGTCAGTGAAGACGTAGGGGATGGATTTCATGACAGTTGGAGGAGATGGATTTCAGGTCAAGTGGAGGAGATGTGTGACAGGACTAATGAGTGTCGGGGCAGGTGAAGGAGATGGGTGTCATGAGGGATGGGTGTTAGAAGTACAGTTGTAAGGATGGGTGTCAGTGAAGATGTAGGGAGTGGATTTCATGACAGTTGTCAGGACTGGGTGTCAGATAGATGGAGGAGATGGATATTGGGGCAGGTGGAGGAGATGGATGTTGGGGCAGATAGAAGAGATGGATGTCAGGACAGGTGGAGGAGATGGATGTTGGGGCAGATAGAAGAGATGGATGTCAGGACAGGTGGAGGAGATGGATGTTGGGACAGGTGGAGGAGATGATGTCAGATAGATGGAGGAGATGGATGTCAGGGCAGATGGTGGAGATGGATGTCGGGGCAGATGGAGGAGATGGATTTCAGGGCAGATGGATGTCAGGGCAGATGAGGGAGATGAATGTTGGGGCAGATGGAGGAGATGGATGTTGGGGCAGATGGAGGAGATGGATGTCAGGGCAGAATGGGAGATGGATGTCGGGGTGGGTGGAGGAGATGGATGTCAGGGCAGGTGGAGGAGATGGATGTCAGGGCAGATGGAGGAGATGGATGTTTGGGCAGATGGAGGAGATGGATGTCAGGGCAGAATGGGAGATGAATGTCGGGGTGGGTGGACGAGATGGATGTCAGATAGTTGGAGGAGATGGATTTTGGGGCAGATGGAGGAGATGGATGTTGGTACAGGACGAGGAGATGGAAGTTGGGGCAGGTGGAGGAGATGGATGTCAGATAGATGAGGAAATGGATGTCAGGGCAGAATGGGAGATGGATGTTGGGGCAGATGGAGGAGATGGATGTCAGACAGATGGAGGAGATGGATGTCGGGGGAGATGGATGTCAGACAGATGGAGGAATCGGATGTCAGGGCAGAATGGGAGATGGATGTTGGGGCAGGTGGAGGAGATGGATGTCAGACAGATGGAGGAGATGGATGTCAGGGCAGATGGGGGAGATGGATGTCAGACAGATGGAGGAAATGGATGTCAGGGCAGAATGGGAGATGGATGTTTGGGTGGGTGAAGGAGATTGATGTTGGGACAGATACAAGAGATGGATGTCAGGGCAGGTGGAGGAGATGGATGTCAGACAGATGGAGGAGATGGATGTCAGGGCAGATGGGGTAGATGGATGTTGGGGGAGATGGATGTCGGGGCAGATGGAGGAGATGGATGTCAGGGCAGATGGTGGAGATGGATGTATGGACAGGTGGAGGAGATGGATGTCAGGGCAGGTGGAGGAGATGGATGTTGGGACAGATACAAGAGATGGATGTCAGGGCAGGTGGAGGAGTTGGATGTCGGGGCAGATGGAGGAGATGGATGTCGGGGCAGATGGAGGAGATGGATGTCAGGGCAGATGGGGGAGATGAATGTTGGGGCAGATGGAGGAGATGGATGTTTGGGCAGGTGGAGGAGATGGATGTATGGACAGGTGGAGGAGATGGATGTCAGACAGATGGTGGAGATGGATGTCGGGGCAGATGGAGGAGATGGATGTCGGGGTGGGTGGAGGAGATGGATGTCAGGGCAGGTGGAGGAGATGGATGTTGGGACAGATACAAGAGATGGATGTCAGGGCAGGTGGAGGAGATGGATGTTGGGGCAGATGGAGGAGATGGATGTCGGGGCAGATGGAGGAGATGGATGTCGGGGCAGATGGGGGAGATGAATGTTGGGGCAGATGGAGGAGATGGATGTTTGGGCAGGTGGAGGAGATGGATGTATGGACAGGTGGAGGAGATGGATGTCAGATAGATGAGGAAATGGATGTCAGGGCAGAATGGGAGATGGATGTCGGGGCAGATGGGGGAGATGGATGTCGGGGCAGATGGTGGAGATGGATGTCGGGGCAGATGGGGGAGATGGATGTCGGGGCAGATGGTGGAGATGGATGTCGGGGTAGGTGGAGGAAATGGATGTGGGGGTAAATGGAGGAGATGGATGTTTGGGCAGATGGAAGATATGAATGTATCAGGGCAAATCGAGGAGATGGATGTATCAGGGCAGGCGCCTTGTGTTAGTAGCAGGGGATGGGTGTCATGACAGTTGGAGGAGATGGGAGATTGGAGACTTTAACATAATGATGATGATCCATGCTTGCCTCCTTTGGTTTCAGGTATGCAAGCTGCTGCACCATCTGGCCTCCACTGACCCACTGGTGATCACTGCAGAACACAATGAGTCATTCCTTCACAGCATTGGGCCACTGGTGAGTTTACAGAACTTTAATATTAACTCTCAAGCTTGGTTTTTCACAATGGAAAATTTGGATGAATATTTTCTCACTGTTTTTTATACAATAACAATTAGATAAATATCACTGCAAGGATTCACTGGTTGTGGGTTCGAATGGATCAGCCATGATTTGTTGTGAACAATTATCTTCCCCTAACCCTGTTAATCTTAGTAATTTAATAGTGTCAGACTGCTTTCAGAAACGAACCTCATGTAATGACGTATAGATAACGCTGTTCCCTGTTCTTTATTGGCTACCACTGTATTCCATTGTTCAGACCCTGTATGCAGCCCAGACTCTCGCTCAGTACCCCTGCAGTAAGGTGGCCAAGGAAAATCTGGAGGTGTTCGGAGATGCCTGGAAGTCACAAATTAATGATCTGTCCATTCTTGTCAAAGAAGTCAATGATGTTTGCCAAGGAAAGATGGACAAACCAGTATATCTTTCTTTACCTCGACCTGGGGTGAGTACTTGCAAGGGAGATAACACTGTTGACTCTCAGTAAGAGAGTTGCCCTGACTGACTTTAATATATAATCTTATTCTTGGGATTTGAAAGTACTGATATTTGAGACAGATATGACAATCTAATTATTGTTTATACTTTCTGTTTTGAGATGTTTAGGCTGTTGGTGTTACAAATATGTAACTTCCCAGAAAGACAGGGAGGGATAAGTCCTTGATATTGCTGAGGGATTGTCAAAACATTCCATAAGCATGTTAACAACGTCATCGAGATGAGGTCTCCAAAATGTACTGTTAGTCTTTACCTAACACTGACATCTCTTTTTTAAATCAAAATAACCTTTAGTCCAAGCATCACCTAGGGATGTTAAAATCCCCCAAGATTGCAGGAAGTCAAGGTAAATGACTCAACTGTACGGTATAAGCGATGCATTGTATTTCTTTTGCAGATTGGAATGTACTTGAACATTCTAGGAAATATGCAAACATGCATCTTTAAACATACTTAGTTACCTTGGTTACATTTGATTAAAGTGGCATTTTTAAAGCTGTAGTTTCAATGAAGACAGGGTTGACATATGGCTCTCAATGTTTTCTTACAATGCTTCTTGAAAAGGGTACTAGCAACTGTATCGAAACGTCACATTGAAAGAATACAAAAGTTGAAATCCAAAAGTCAGGTTTGACTTCAGCATGGTTATAGTGTGAGGAGGCAGTGCATGGAGACAGAATGCAGATAACGGAATGTCTAGCACCTAAGGCATCGACTAGAGAATGCTCATAGCGGGACTGATTGACAATAGGAATGTGATCTAGCATGACATATGTAGACATTACCTTGCTTGGTTTCTGTTTCATATTACTTGCAGGTTGTACAAATTTGACATTTTTTTTCAATTGTATTCTTGATAAGATAAGTCTAATACTTGCAAAAGGAAATTATTTAGGATACAAACTTCAAGAAAAGCAAGTTATTCATTTATTTGTTTTGTTGTTTAATGCTGCACTCAGCAATATTCCAGCTGTATGATGGCAGCCTGTCAAGTCTGGACAAGACAATCCAGTGATTGATATTGTGAGCAATGATTCACTCCGTCGGGGTAGGATGACACACAGTCAACCAAGTCACCAAGTCAGGGCACCTGATACACTGGGTTGCCTAAGAATAGCATAGGTTGCTGGAAACCTATTCTAACATGGAATACCCCCAGGGCAACTGTGCCTTGCTTCCTTGGCATTATGAATTATTCCTTGATGAAATTGTGTTTGGGTTATAGGCTGCTTTGGAATTTTACTCCTTCTTATATACAAATCATATCTTCGTGACATGTAAAACACACTAATTTGCTATATCTAACTGAGCTGTAACTACTGAATGCTAATACATGTACATTTCTAACAACTCCAACTAGAGTTCCACTCCACCCCAGGTAAGTACTACAGCTAAGTGTCACATGGTCACCTCTACGTGTGTGTTAAGCACTCCAGCTAAGTGTCACATGGTCACTTTTACGTGTGTGTTAAGTACTACAGCCAAGTGTCACATGGTCACCTCTACGTGTGTGTTAAGTACTCCAGCTAAGTGTCACATGGTCACCTCTACGTGTGTGTTAAGTACTCCAGCTAAGTGTCACATGGTCACCTCTACGTGTGTGTTAAGTACTCCAGCTTAGTGTCACATGGTCACCTCTACGTGTGTGTTAAGCACTCCAGCTAAGTGTCACATGGTCACTTTTACGTGTGTGTTAAGTACTACAGCTAAGTGTCACATGGTCACCTCTACGTGTGTGTTAAGTACTCCAGCTAAGTGTCACATGGTCACCTCTACGTGTGTGTTAAGTACTCCAGCTAAGTGTCACATGGTCACCTCTACGTGTGTGTTAAGTACTCCAGCTTAGTGTCACATGGTCACCTCTACGTGTGTGTTAAGTACTCCAGCTAAGTGTCACATGGTCACCTCTACGTGTGTGTAAAGTACTCCAGCTAAGTGTCACATGGTCACCTCTATGTGTGTGTTAAGTACTCCAGCTAAGTGTCACATGGTCACTTCTACGTGTGTTAAGTACTCCAGCTAAGTGTCACATGGTCACTTCTACGTGTGTGTTAAGTACTCCAGCTAAGTGTCACATGGTCACCTCTACGTGTGTGTTAAGTACTCCAGCTAAGTGTCACATGGTCACCTCTATGTGTGTGTTAAGTACTCCAGCTAAGTGTCACATGGTCACTTCTACATGTGTTAAGTACTCCAGCTAAGTGTCACATGGTCACCTCTAAGTGTGTGTTAAGTACTCCAGCTAAGTGTCACATGGTCACCTCTACGTGTGTGTTAAGTACTCCAGCTAAGTGTCACATGGTCACCATTACGTGTGTGTTATGTGCTGCACAGTTACTTATTTTACTGAAGATGTCAAGTGTGCACTGGCAGCATACATGGCACTGTCCATCACGATCCCTTTGATTTGCTCCAGTGTCATTTGTTATTAAATGTATTTACTAGCGTAGAAATATTTTTTACAGTTGTACAGATGTGTCTTTATTTTGATTTTTGAAGCATGTGTTGTTTTTGTCAGAAGTTTTAAAAAGTCTTTTTCTGATGTTTCTACATACCGGTATATGTTTTATCACTGGCTGCAATATCTCAGCTTTTGATGTTTTCCTGAAATATTTTGATGTGAAGGGTACCAAATTTGATTCAAGATCCTTTGAGAAGATCTTTGTTTTCCAATTGTCCTTGTCTTTTTGTTGTGTGATGAATCAAGCAGCCTACTTTCAGTATAAATGTTCAGATATGGGGATGCTGAGCATTTATATTAAATGGATTTGAAATGATGAATATGGCAAAGTAAAATGTTTAAGATAAGGTTATAATTCTCAGAATGTTCAGCTGAAGAAAGAAAACAAATTCATAACATATTTTGAGGAGTTTTATTATGTTGAGAATTTAGGATGTGCTATTAAGATGGTAACTGGAATTTATGTAGACATGGCTGAGTAAAAAAAGCAATGTTAAAAATGTGTTGCAAGTGGTGCACCTTCTTCAAACAATCCTTGAACCTCAACATCACAACATGTCTTTCTTTGATCAGGTCTTGTGAACAAATGGCGATCACTCCAAGATAGCTGCTATTGTCTTGGTACTGCTAATATGGGTTTGCATAGTTAAAAATCCCACTGACTTTGCTACCATACATTGTGACTTCTACATGAAGTATTCAATTTACAGCCAGTTTTCAAGAAACTATGACCTACAAGGAGACAAAACTATTTTGAACCCAGTATTCCAAAGTTTATGTCATTAGTTCAACACTAGTTCAACATTAACAATCAGGTGCTTCAGCTGATCAAAGCATTGCATGACACAGACAGAAGGACATGTGGTCAACATTTCATGCCATGGTTTTCTCAGTTATTGGATCCAATGTTGTAATACAGGGTCAGTGTGTGTCCTGCCTAGACAAACTAGACTGAAATACTGATATGCATGTATTGTAGACAGTAGACAGACTCTTGAGGGCTTCTTAGGAGATGTGGAATACAGGATGTGTTTGTCCTGTCTAGACACACTTAGACTGACATACTGATTGATATGCATGTAGACAGTAGACAGACTCTTAAGGGCTTCTTAGGAGATGTGGAATACAGGGTCAGTGTGTGTTCTGCCTAGACACACTGGACTGACATACTGATTGATATGCATGTAGACAGTAGACAGACTCTTGAGGCTTTTGTAGGAGATTTGGTTTACAGGGTCAGTATTGGTCGTTTCAGAAACATGGGACTACCGCCAGATCCTTCAGACCTGCTAAGCTTGATGCTGAGGTAAGTCACCTGAATGTAGATAGACGTGAGAATATGCTCTACAAGGTTAACGTCAACTAAATATGTTTGGCTTGCAAGTCTATACTAAAAGTGTGATTTCTTTTGAATCTGTTGAAGGGAAAACAGCATTTGCACTTGTAATATTGAGAAAATGTTGATTGTGCCTTTGTTAGGTGAATAGTTTCCAAAACAGTGTAATAATGACTAGATGATCAATCATTATGCATAAGTGGTGACCTCTTTTGGAGGACTTCATGGAGGGAGCATTGTATGACTAGGTATGTCCAATTACCACTTTCAATTACCATCTTACATGGCTTAGACAGATACAGTTTCAGATCATCATCAAGACTACACGCGTGAAACTATCCAAAGTGGCATTTGACATCATCATGCTCATTCCTGCTCCAGTCATACTATGCTTTCCCACATTTAAGTTTTATGAATGCAGTGCTAGATGTGTAAGGTCTGTTTACCTGGTGGTTGTAGGAGCAAGCTAAGATTGCCAAGCTTGGTCTGGAGATGAAGCTAATCACTTCGGAGATGGATGCTGAGACAGACAAGTGGGAGGAGCCAGACAATGACATCGTCAAGCGTGCCAAGAACATGTCCAGCATGGCGTTTGCCATGTACCTGTTCACACGTGGAGAGGGGCCACTCAAGACTACACAGGACCTATTTGTGCAGGCCGAGTTCTTTGCTGAGGAGGGCAATAAGCTGTACAAGACGGTCATGGGTTTTGCTCAGAGGGTAAGCAGCAGTAGCAGAGAATAAGTTCAGTGTGAGCATGTTAATCATCAGTTTTAGGCCCTTTTTTAAACCTTCTACTCCACAAGTTACATTTATAGTTTTTTTAATACTTTGTAACTGCAAACGTGTCATCGGGTATTGATCTGTTTAAAGAATATGGGAGAAAGTTCCTATGTTATAAAAGAGAAAGGATATATCAAACTTCAGTGCAATTTGTTGTATTACAAGTCCATTTTTTGTCTTCTTCCTCAAGTAATGAAAAAGATTATTCATTTCTCGTAGGTTAGGCATGAAATAAGTTCATCCGTATTAACATGATTAAGTTGGGTGCTCATTAGGTAAACACTCTCTGTGTTCTGTGGAGGAACTGCAAGTTGCAGAGAAATACCTCTGTAGTGATGCCTGATTTACTTAGTTGGTAAGCCAAGCTATAATGTAATGTATTCAGTGCTAATGATATTTATTTGGTCAGGCAGAGTGTTACGTACAGTGTTTGAAGTGTATTAAAATGTAGCCAATCGGGGAGGAGCTCTTTTCATATAAAATGAAATCAAATATTTTTTACTTATCATGTATTACTCCTTAATGCATTACTGCTTACTTTAAAACAACAAAAAGACAGCACACAGCGATGGTCTTGGGTGAAAAAAAATAAAGTCCCACTCCTGCCTTTTGTGTGGACCATCGCCGCTATCATGTGACCTTGATGACAAGTCACCTTCCTCACATCACTGCTTGTCTCACTATAGCAAGCAGGTGTCCCAGTGGAGCGCTTCAAATTGGATTAATTTAGACCTTTAGTTTTTTGGTATAATTCTAAAATTGATGGGTGATGTATTCCTTTCATATTACTTTCACCATGTTGTGTAGTTTAATGTGGGTTATTTAGGCATAAAAAAACTTCTTTTTTCCTGCAATGTACTAGTTGTTTCCCGCCATTTTAAATTTGTGTTACAATTGTTTGCCTGCAAAGGTAGTCAAATTGTTGACAATTCCCACCTACGTATGTATAACATATACATACGTTTTTAAATACTAGTAGCTTTGGCGTTACATTGAGTTTGCGTGTATCAATAATATGTACACACTTTAAAGTCTGAAAAAATCTGCCGATAGATACTGTTTAATTCTATGGCAATCTTCCAACTCCGTTTCATCAACAATTCTTTATTTTGCATAACTTATGTTTGCGCATTGTACTAATTGTCAGGGAAAAAATCTTCCCAAAGCCGTCACTCTACCAGCTCAACTAAGGCCTTACCTCAGTTGGTGGACGGTAGAGTTGAATGTCTTAGGGGGAGTCTCTTTATCAGGGGTATCCCCGAGTCTGCACCTGTTCGTAGACGCCTCCCTTCAAGGGTGGGGTGCTCACCTGCAAGGCCAGACAGCCTCATTGCTATGGTCCAGCGCCCATCGAAAGTAGCACATAAACAACTTGGAGTTGGAAGCATTAATACCATTGTTAGAATCTGCCACAGTCCGTCCAACTCGCAATATCCACAGACAACAGCACTGTGATGTGGTGCCTCGCAATCAGGGATCAACGCACTCCCACTCCCTGCTTCAACAGACATTCAGATTTATTCATCTAGTGGATCATCTGGAACTATAATTCATAGTTCAGCACATCCCCAGATGTCAAAACGTACTGGCCGATGTATTATGGTGTCAAGACAGGGTGGCTCCCACCGAGTGGAAACTTCACACAAAAGCATTTCAGTTACTGCTTCAGAAGTCCGACCTGTTTGCTATGTGCCAAAACCACCAACCCATGATGTATGTCTCCCTGTTACCGGATCCGCAGACTTAGGGGTTGGATGGTCGCGCCCTAGTGCCCAGTGAGAGGGTTGTTCGTCGAGCTCAGAAATCTAGCAGAAGACAATACTCTACTCCTCCCACAGTGGTCGAACCTACTCATCCACCCTCACAGCAAGTTGCCTCACCCAAAGCTAGACAGATTTTGTCTGCACGCTTGGGTCTTCTTAAAAAGGCGTTAAGGGCTATTCAGCTTTAGCTCATCGTCCCTATACCAGAGGACAATACGATGACAAGTAGGGATCATTTGAAACTATTTTTGCAAGGCACTTCGAGGTTTGCGAGGGCCCCCCTTCGAGCCCCCCTATGCATCCTCACTTTATGACCTCACCAAGGAAACAATATTTCTCTTGACTTGAGCCATGGCGGCACGGGTGATCGAGCTACGTGTGATCAACATCAACCAGGTCTGTTTTGAGCATGGGACACACCGAGCAGTATATCTCAGGTTGTGCTGGGAGTTTGTAGCAAAAAATCAACTACCAGGCCAACCCGATCATTCCTTCACCATCCCACCAATATTGACTATTGTGGGAGCCGAAGATTGAGGGTGAACTTCTCCTGTGCCCGGTGCGAGCACTTTGAGTTTTCATCTGCCGCTTCTAGGCTAGGCGTGGTTCCAGGAAGCGGTTATCTATACCCATGTCTCCTACATCCACGCCCTAAGTTAGTTGCAACACCATATCCCTATGGTTATGCACAATCATCCTTCAGACTTACAAGACCGCCAAACTGGATCCCCAGGGAGTGAAAAACCCTCATGAGATCTGGGCGCTAGCCTCTACCTGTTTTTGGAGGTCTGACACAGTTTTCTCTAGTGTACTTATCCTGCATTACTATGTTTAACGACCCACCCGTTGCAGACTTGCCTCCCCACTTTGGCTTCAGAAACCTCAAAAGTATGTTTTTTAAGCTCGGGCGAAAGGCAGTGATGTTAGAATGGTGACTTGGGCCATACAAAAGGCAGGAGTGGGACTTTGAAACAACTATATTTCTTCACCCAAGACCCAAGTCTTTTTGTTGTCGTAAGGTAAGCAGTGAATGCATTAAGGAGTAATGCAGGATAAGTATATAAATGTAAAAAATATTTAGATTTTACTAAATTTGTCAGTTCTGATGTCGACTTAAGTAGTGTTTTACAGAGTTGCATCCCTTAGGCATGTCAGAATTCTATGATCTCGTGTTCAAAATCCCAAATTCACCCTGATTATGATTCTTGGTTTGTCAGCCCATAACCATACTTAGGGTTTCAGCAAAGGGGTAAACATCTAACACCTGCATGACTTTGGGCTTTCCTACATTACCTGACATGCCATGATATTCAAAGCAGTGTTACACCCAACTCACTCACTTGTACACTGTAGTGACAGTATGATAGTAAGGATGAGGGCAGTGTGTGTCATAGGTGCCCCTTGTCTTGCAGGTGCCCCCGTGCCACCACAAGGAGGAACTGTTGATATACCTGGACCGGGTGCCAGTCTTCTGTCAGCAGCTCTCCATTAGACTTAAAGCGCCAACCTTTGGAAAGACGCCAACCTTCAACAAGGTGAGAAGTGGAGTAGGGAATAAATATGCATAGTATCACCTTAAGCTTAAGATTATGTATAATCATTTTCAGACTTAGGCACGGAACTCAAAGGATATAAGAATGCAGCACAGAACCCCCTTGATTCTGAACATTGTTTCATATGCATGATCTGTACACATAGTACTTGAACTGGAATCAGTGGACATAAACCATTGGTTTATGGTTGCTAAACATCGTGAATAGTATAGGATTATGTGACTACTATTTGTCAAGTTTCTGTGAATCATTTATGTCTCCCAAGATGATTGGCAAGTATGTAATGTATGAGGCTGGGATTCCTGTGCCATTCTTCAAGGACTGCTTGACTCCATGGTGTCTAGAACTTAAGATTCAGACATTTATGCACTTGCTTGGAAGCTGAATATCTGCTGTTGTTTTCCTTAGGTTGACAGTACTATCCAGGAAACAAAGAATCTTATGAATGTCATTGCCAAGGTCGTCACAACATGCTTTATTTGTGCCACAAAGGTAAGTCAGAAGTTTGGGAAGCTTTGGATTGAAACTACTTTTGTTCTGTAAGGAAATGTTGTCAAGTATCTGTTGTCAAATCTTGTGTTTACAGTGACAGTCACAACACTTCTTGACTAAATGCACATCCATGTGCCTTGTAAGTTTCCCTTGTGGAGTTGAGATTGCCAAGTGATTTGAGTGAGTGAGTGAGTATGGTTTTATGCCGCTTTTAGCAATATTCCAGCAATATCACTGCGGGGGGCACCAGAAATGGGCTTCACACATTGTACCCATGTCGGAATCGAACCCGGGTCTTCGGCGTGACAAGCGAACGCTTTAACCGCTAGGCTACCCAACTGCCCCAAGTGATTTGAAGCATTACACAGAATAGGTGATTAATACTGGTAACACATCAAGCAATGGTCTCTTCACAGGAGTTCACAATGGTGTGTAGGCATGCTATTTATAAGAATCCCTTTCATTGCTGTCAGTTTGATATCCCTTACTCAATTCCGTTGCAGTTCAACATTGACTATCGTGTATCGCCCGGTGGGAGTTACAGGTGGCGCTGTCAGTATGAAGGTTCAAGATCAAGTGCGGGGAGTGACACAGATGGTGGAGGCCTCAGCCCACACTCGGAGGGTGGAGCTATGTTCAGGTCATCGTCAATCAGCCCTCACTCTGAAAGCTTGTATCGAACCTCATCGTTGTCAAAGTCCCTCAGTACTGAAAAGTCATGACAGGAGGAGCTTAGTGGCTAGTGAATCCTTTATGTCTGCTAGGTGGCGCTTCTGCAGTCCACAAAAGTCAAACACAAATAAAAAAAACGTGGACTAAAAACAATGAGATCAGTGGAATATTCCTGCAGTTTTACAGCCCTTACAAGACTGAGGTTTCACAATTCATGGAAATATTGTTTGATTGGTAATTGCAATGTATGAATTGATATTTATTTAAGTTGGTGCCATTTGTGATGTTGCAAAATGAAATTGTTCCTTTTCAAATTTTCTTGTAATGAACTACGCAATCAATTTTGGGGCATTTCTCAATGCTTGTAAATTTACTCTAAGAAAAGTGTTCATGAATATTTATCATTTGGAAATGGATGCAACCAGAGCATCCAATCTATTCAAACCTGCTTGATATTACAATTGATGTGTGATACTGTACACTCATACCCTCTATGTTTTCAAAGTTCAAAATTTTTGCATTAGAGTATAGTGAGTTAGGACAGCATAGTGGTGCATTTACAACCAAAATTATATCAAAATAAAAATGTGATTAATGGCTGTCGTTTTTATGAAAGCTTTATGAGCATTATTTTACTGCTGGTATCAAAAGTTTATGATGTTATTTATTTGAGCTTTAAATTTTCATCCCTCATTTAATGTATGTAGACGTGTTCTCATAATATACATTTTTTTATAAAGAATTATTGTGGGACCTCATTAATTAAACATTGTGCTTATTTTGCATTAAATACAGTGAAATTCATTACTCCAGACAGTTTTGGCATCATTACAATGTTGTAGTGGACAAATAATAAACATGGATTATCGTGAAATTCTTTGTTGAAAACTGGCTAAGTTACCAGGAATAAAGTCCAGATTAACGAGGTTCCATTTTGCCATGTGTGTTTCATAATAAGGTGACTGATTGTTGGTGTGCAAATTCAGTATTGTTTTGAAAGTAACATGCATTTCATGTAAAGCTTTTTGTGAAGACTATTTGTACAAACCCAGTTTGATGGTCACAGTGTACTGCTGTTTGTGTCAATCTCTACAGCTGATATCTAGCTTTATGAAAAAAATCGATTACAGGTTAGCAATTTATTTTTGTATTTTATGTATATAAATATCATAACTTACAGTGTCAAAGTATTAAGAAAACCAATTCACATTATGGTAATACAAGTATGGTCCTTTTGTGATTAAAGTTGGACAAGTCAAAATGGTAGTATTTCATGGATCTGGTTTTATTTTTTTTGTTTATTGTCATTTTATTTGACAATTTTAGAGTCTGTTATATATTACATTTTAAGAGTGATTGACATAAGGAATGGCAACACAAGATATATCTCAATGTCTCTTCCTGGCTGTAAAGAAATGTTTCTCTGCTTATAATAATGAGACAACCAATCATGGCAGAAAGATTTTTATTTGTGCATTAATGTTTTAACTTTTCAGCAGCTAGGTTTAATCTTTTGCTGTCCTTTTTAGGATTAAGTGCTTGTCAATTTTACAATACAGATGATACTTCTCAAACATTTTATGAAAATATCTGTCCATTAAATGTTTTCTGTTATAAAACAATCCATATCAATCTCAAAATATCAATATTAAACAATGCACTTGTCAAATGCAAGGAAACTTATAAGAGCAGATATTGTGGAGTATCTATTTTTACAGCGATATTCTTGACTTGTAAATATTCACAAATCTTCCTGAATTCCATGCTCTTGCTTCAAACTGTCACCGCATTTCTGTGATAACCAAAATGCTGAACTAATATAAGATGCTACTTGTTGAAAAGCATATTTGCATGAGATAATATTCCAGTCGCATGTTTGTATTAATGTTGTTAAGTGTTGTAAACTTAATCTAAGCCAGTGATCGCAAGCAAGAGGACTTTGACCCCACTGCTTCGAACTTGGCAATGATGGGGATTATTTAACAAGGCAGTGATTTCTGTAAACGAGTTGATACATTTTTTAACTTTAGCTGATGCCAACAAATTAAGACTTGAATGTAGTAACTGTTGCTATGGTTAACTGCTTCAATTTGTGTTTTTATCACTCTCCACACATAAGTCATCTGTATCTTTTGATAAATTATCTTGAAATGTAGCTAATATGAATTTATATGTAAAGTAGGTAGAGTAATTGGTTGCCTTAAGGATATGATCCTGCTTGTTCTACTAGTGTTTGTTAGTCAGTTTGTCAAGTAGGTTGATCGTGTTTGGATGATCAAAGTGAAAGTTATTTTATCAATGTTTAGCAGCAGGCAGTTTAACTTTATGATGATGCAATGAGCAATTTGTGCCAACTTGGAGATTACACATTTTCTGGTGATTTCCTATGTGGAGAGAGGTTGTATTCAAAAGGTAACCGCCATTAATTGGCAATACCTTGTATGATAACATTGCCAGAGACACTTGCACATATGTACATACAAGCATACAGTCCTTCATCCTGTGTTCATCAGTGTTCAGGTGTTGTCAAGAGGTTTAGCGCAGCAGTGATTGTCTTATCCTGAGATTTCAATACCACGTGATTTTTGCGAGGTAACCCCTATTTTCCTACTGTCTTATCAAGGAACTGAGTTCTCATCCCTTGCAGGACTGTTTTGAGTCTGTGATACACATTGATGTCATAAATGAACCTTTAAGTAGAGCTTAATGGATTATGAATTCAAAATGAATGTCACTTATATTTTCAGTTAGCATTTTATTTCTGAAAATAACAGAATTGTGTCTAAGAAAATGGCATTTTTATTCATCATTGTACATTGCTTGTAGTTAGAAATCTTTCTGACAATTGAAATTGGTTGTTTGTTCTGTAGGGAAGTAGTGGTAGATGTTGTCTTCATGAGAGCTGGTTGTAGAGAAAATTCAACTTTTATCATGATTGGGTGGTGCAGGAGGTTTTGACTGCATTGTTGCTTGTTACAGATTAAATTCAGACCTATCATTTTAAAGTGGGAAAGTGGATAGTCCAATGTGGATGATGTCTTTGAGGTTTGATTTAATAAGTTTTAATGTGAACTTATAAATGTGAATGTACAAACAGCTGTTCAGTCTCAGTGTTAGAGTAGGAATGCATTTGTCCGAATCATCAAGTTGTCATGGTGACCCATGTTGATAGTGTTGCTTCCACATGCCTGATGGAAAACCTCAGAAATGTTTTACTTGTCAAAACAACATTGTCTAAGAGACACTTATTTCAATGTGTACATAGTATTTCTTTCAGTGTTGTGTGAAACTCAGCAAGTCATTGAGAATGTACTTGGTAATGTGCATCGGTGAAAATGTGCCGTGTAAGAATTCTGTGGAGATATAATTAATGTTTCCTTGTTTAATGCAATGTAGTTCACCTCAGGTTTGCCCATACTTTTGTACATTTTTTTCTTGCATTAAGAAAATCCCATTTATCATCACATATTATGTATCCAATCTGATCTAAATACATTTTACTCACATATAATATTTGCTATATCTTTTGTACAATATTATTTCAGTATTTAATACGAGGTGTAGTCATATAGACGCTTTTCTCCCATCATGCACCTGTAGCTTGAAGGAGAAGTGAACAAGGCCCCTTGTACGACAGGTAATCAAGTTCACAACTCTGTATGGAGGAGTCTTAGTGCTCTGATTGCATTGTAAACTGGGGCTCTGAAGAATACAGGGGTTGTAGTAAGATGTCAAACAGTCCATGTGAAGGATTCAGACTAGAGAAATCTCATGTTAAGACTCATTCAGGAATTAACAGTTACTGCAATGAAAGGTCTCAGTGATGTTATGGCTGTAATGATCAGGATAAGATTATTATGAATAACTTCATATAAGCACTGAAAATCTACTGCATCTTGAGACATCTTACAACAACTCTGTACCCTGCTTTTATAGTCTAGTCAATGCTATTGGATTGCCAATATTTATAGCTGTGTAACGTAGTACAGGCAGCACATATACCTACTTGTGTCAGTAGTCAGGTGTGACTGTTGAATGTATGGATGAACAGGGGGATGAAAGGTTGTAGTCATGTCACCCATGCTGGTGTACAATACTTTTGTGGATAATATGTATATTTGAAACTATGCCCACATGCCACCTTACAGTCATGGTGCACCTGCTGACTCCATAACATGTAGTCATATGACAGTCATGGTGCACCTGCTGACTCCATAACATGTAGTCATATGACAGTCATGGTGCACCTGCTGACTCCATAACATGTAGTCATATGACAGTCATGGTGCACCTGCTGACTCCATAACATGTAGTCATATGACAGTCATGGGGCACCTGCTGACTCTATTAAATGTAGTCATATGACAGTCATGGTGCACCTGCTGACTCCATAACATGTAGTCATATGACAGTCATGGAGCACCTGCTGACTCCATAACATGTAGTCATATGACAGTCATGGTGCACCTGCTGACTCCATAACATGTAGTCATATGACAGTCATGGTGCACCTGCTGACTCCATAACATGTAGTCATATGACAGTCATGGTGCACCTGCTGACTCCATAACATGTAGTCATATGACAGTCATGGTGCACCTGCTGACTCCATAACATGTAGTCATATGACAGTCATGGTGCACCTGCTGACTCCATAACATGTAGTCATATGACAGTCATGGAGCACCTGCTGACTCTATAACATGTAGTCATATGACAGTCATGGTGCACCTGCTGACTCTATTAAATGTAGTCATATGACAGTCATGGTGCACCTGCTGACTCCATAACATGTAGTCATATGACAGTCATGGAGCACCTGCTGACTCCATAACATGTAGTCATATGACAGTCATGGTGCACCTGCTGACTCCATAACATGTAGTCATATGACAGTCATGGAGCACCTGCTGACTCTATTAAATGTAGTCATATGACAGTCATGGTGCACCTGCTGACTCCATATCATGTAGTCATATGACAGTCATGGAGCACCTGCTGACTCTATAAAATGTAGTCATATGACAGTCATGGAGCACCTGCTGATTCAATAACATGTAGTCATGGAGCACCTGCTGACTGTATAACATGTGGTCATGGTGCACCTGCTGACTCCATAACATGTAGTCATGGAGCACTTGCTGACTCTATAACATGTAGTCATGGTGCACCTGCTGACTGTATAACATGTAGTCATGTGACAGTCATGGTGCACCTGCTGACTCAATAGCATGTAGTCATGTGACAGTTATGGAGCACCTGCTGACTCTATAGCATGTAGTCATGTGACAGTCATGGGGCTGTGGTTGTTTTTTGAGGTTATGGCGGGGTTAGATGTCTCTGACCGTAAAACCACATGTACGAATATTAGAATTTAAATAAGGCTCTTGTTGATTTTCATTGATTTTTTGTAGCTTTTACTTCAAGAAGTTGTGTACATGTGACTACAAATATTTACATGTACACATTCATGTTGCATTTAGTCTTGAAGGCAGGTTCTTTTTCTCAAACTTTGTAGTATGTTGTCATGGAATTTACACTGAAAATTCTTTTGAATCCATATCCTTTCAAGGTTGTCAATCAGATTTATTGATTTTGTTATGATCAGCAGCTTTGTTGTATATTCAGTCACTCTATCAAGAGACCTTTGTTCATGTATGTTCGATTATCGCTGACATCTTTGTATCTTTGGGTGTTGCATTGTTCTTGGAAGTCAAATCATGAATTTATTCCTTGATATTTTGATAATCTAATGCTTGTGAAAGCTTTAACCAACCTTCCCCAGCATTCCGGATTGTGTTAGAGTATAGAGGTTGCTAGCTTGATTGTAGATGGCGCTACCAATACATTAGGGCGATACATGCATGTGTGCATACTGGCTCCAGGCTTTTAGCTGGTGATCTGTTATCAGCTGGAAGATAGGTGTCTCCTCTTGGTTGTAAAATTACCACAAATTGTAAATATTTGTGAAAATGTCACATTTTTAACAGATGAGAGTTGTGTGCTTGTGGGTATAGCTTTGAAATTACACTGTTTTTTTCTGTTATGATATAGAAAACTGTAAACCAGGGGGAGATAACTTGTTGAAAGCAGTGTGCTATCACAAAGCAGTTTGTAACTGGTTTGACCAGGAAGCTTCATTACAATATTATGAGCTCTCCCTCTTATGATCTTGTCTTCAGTCCTTAACATTAACCCCTCTGCTGAAAACAGTCATGTGAATCAAACTTTATGCCGAATCAAATACCAAAAGATTTGTTATTAATGTTACTCAAGCTTTTGTAATTTCTGTATTCATACATTTCAGTACATATGTTTCATAAAATATGAAAATCCTATTTCTTCAGTATTTCCTTTACATTTTCAGATGATAATTATGTTATTACTAAATGAGAAAAATGCTACATAATGTCAGAAAAAGTAAGTGTATGCATCCGTGATGATTACACTCTTCCATTTATACATGTGGCCTTGTGAGAGCATTGTTACATAGACTTTGCATTTACTCTGTAATCACAAATTTTATTTTATTTTTGTACGTTGTATTACTACAAAAATATACAGATCTTTTGTCATTTATTTCCCATTAGTTTCCTGAACCAGAAATCCTGTTATTGGAAATATACATAACCATATAATATAAGAAAAATGTTTGTGACTACACTGGATTTTTTATTTGTTTTAAACTTTAAAGCAGTGTCAATATGAAAAATAACCCAACTAAATATGTTCAATCATGTTTTCTAATTATTTTTGTTCTATGGTTGATAATGTCAAAGTATTGAGTTCACTATGTCATCTACCTCAGGTATGTTGAAAACATTACAGACTATGAAGTTGTCCTCGTCCCAGGTAATCTTCCTTTGTTTACATATACTGAAATATTTTATTGTTCATTTCTATCTTTATTTCTGTTTGGTTCCATGTATGTTGGTAGGTTTCTGGTGGTTGTACAAAGTGTACATTGACACTATGGTGCTATTTTGTTTTCTCCCTTTCCTGTGTAGTATGCTGGGAGGAATCTTCTTCCCTTATTGAGCGTGTTAGGTCAGGAAGGACAGGTTCATACAGGAGACCAGCTTGGTTCAACTGCTGTGGAAAACAACACAAAAGCAGAGAAGTCATGGAAATCGATGCTACTTTTAATTTTTGTTACATCAATCTTTTCTTTCAAGGCATGTCTTTTTTCTGAATTTGTTTTTGAATTCTACTTTCTCAGAACATGGTGGAAGGTCATTCTTCATTGGAATATGAAAATGTAGAAATGTTTCTCGAGTCAACGTTGAGCTAGCTGTCCTGTCAGAAAGTTGATTTTAATTTTGTTGTTTTTCATCCATTATTTCTATTTTATTTGGTCAGTATGTCAGAAAGAGGACTACTTTTGTCTGTTTTAATGACCCATGTTATTTTTAGAATAATGCCTTTTTAAAAAATTGTTTTTATGATGTTAACCTCAGTAAGCTACTTCAGCTTTCTGTCTTCAGTATTTACACAAGTCAGCAAATGTCTCCTGTAGGAAGTCTGCCCAGACAGCATCAGTGTGTTTTGAGTGCGGCTGTTGTGTTGTACGATATGTGTGATTCTCTCTGCTGTCACCAGATGGCAGCACAGCCTTCCCTTTGTTGGCTCATTTCATGGTCAAAGCAAATAAAACATGTATGAAAATATTGTCTTCTTGATCTATACATACTTAGAAAATAACTAACGAGCTATAGGGAATATTATCATACCTCCATGTCAGAATGATGAGATCTGATTGGTCCACGTGATTTTGATAAAATACTGTGTAACCCGCCTTGGAGGGAAATAAACTTTTCAGCTGGTAATAAATCTCTTATACCCAACCACGAGCACTACAGTATGCACGTGCATTTCTGAGAGACATAATATATCCTTTATACCCTGCTTCAAACCAAAAAGCCACACTCCGAGCCAATGGATGTCACATGACCTCAGCTCAATTGAGCAGCTGTTTTCTATCAATTTGGAATTTATTTGAATTAATCTACAATATCACATTAAAACATGTCGGAAAGATAAATTTGTTGTAGCAGGAACACTCGGGGTCCAAGGGGTGATCCTACTACAACTTATAATGGACTATCTGTCTTGAGTGAATAAAGCCTTTGTTGAGGGACTTACAGCATTCATTCAACAGGGATAGATAAACCTTAATTCCGAGAAGGTTATACATTAACAGTTTAAGAGTGAATATGTAGAAAAAACGTATGAAATGTCAAATCTACAGAGAAGGAAGGCACCCTAATGTTCAAATAATGTCATGAACTATGGATAACATCATATCGTTGCTTCAACTGACCACTCAGCATTGAGAATTGCAATGTGCATGTGCAAATATCAGAAGTTATTACACATGATCTTTCTCCCCTTATGGGCCAGAAGAGACACACTGCTGGGCTTATTGGTCTTTTTTAATATAATCATGGATTTCATGTGTAATCTGTAATTTATTATTTAAAACAAAAAAACTAACAATTTACATGTTACAGTAACTGACTTTCAAGGCCTACATCATAAGCTTGAGATTCAAAATTATTCAATTTAAATGCTAGTTGTTGATAAATGGTCGGATTTAATTGTAGTTTGTGAGATGTTGATGTGTACAAGGAGGTCAGCTTGTGTTCATAGCGTGAGGACGTGTTTTTCGAGAGCTCTGATAGCTCTGATAGCTAACCGAGAAATTGAGACACGAACAAGATTGACATGCACAAACTGTAAGTCTACATTCAGACATTGTATAAATATATGCGAAAATTTTATTATTGATGTGCAGTGATGGAGGCGCAATTCGCCCAAAATTATTCACAACATCAGAATGCCAATACAGATTTTCAACCAGGCCATGTTGTTCAGCCACAGGTCAGTGTAGACAACGCAGAATGGATCAAAACCTTATTTGATCAAATGAGGCACTTGACTACCATGGTTAATTCCATAAACCAGAGGATGCAATGTGTTGATAGCATTGACAGTAAATTAACTATGACTGACAATAAGCTGACATCTCTCGACATTACAATGATAGAGACAACACTTCGCGTTCATAAGCTTGAAGCCTGTGTGAGAGAGACTGCATCAGAAAACAAAAAGCTGAAACAACAGGTACGGGAGCTTACCGATGTAAGATGTACAGAGTACCGATGATCGGGACAGGTTGTCGAGAGATGTAGAAGACGTGTTTTATGACATAGACTCCATATACCAGGAACAGCGAGACCTGAAAGAATCTGTTATTGACCTGAAAACACGCTCTATGAGAGATAATCTACTCTTTCATGGGATCCCGGAAATGCCTGGAGAAGAACCTAAAGAGGTAATTAAAGGTTTCTTAAAGAAAGAAATGAAGGGTGACACAGACATCCACCTCTTACGTGTACATAGGATTGGCCCTCACTTATCTAACAGACCACGTACTATAGTGGCAAAATTTGCAAATCACGACCGAACGGTGGGAAATCCTGACTAACACAAGACAGCTGAGAGAAACGCAATTCGGTGTTAGTGAACAGTTTCCTCAAGAAATTGTGCAGAGACGAAGAGATCTACTCCCCATTTTCAAGGAAGCAATGAGGCGTGGTTTGAAATCTAAACTCACAGTAGACTGACTGTATATAGACGGGAGACGTGTGTACCCAGGAGACGACCCGTTTATAGATCTCACCCCACTAGGCGCTCCCCCCCCCCAGCAGGAGATCATATGCGAGTGCCGTCGGTCGGTCAGACAACAGAAAACCCAACAAGATGGCCAGGACTGAGGACACGGGAGAAAACAGGCCGCGGTAGGAAAATAACGGAGGTCAGCAAACCCGTGAGTCATCTAACAGTGAAAACGTAACTTAAGAAACTTAATGTGTGTGGTATTAGGACAAAGCTGTTGAACCCCGATTTTGTGAACGTGTGATTTAGATGCTGTGAACATCCAAGGATTTTCAGTTCATATGAATAACAGAACTAACGTACTGAACACACGTGTATCTGGCGGGATCATTGTAGCCATCAAAGAGACACTATTTGACAAAGTGAGCGTCATCAAAAAGATACATGATATTGTTTTATGGTGTAAGATACCAAGTGATTTCCTGCATGTTAACGATGACCTTATCCTAGGAACTGTGTATATACCACCAGAGCAAAGTAGATTTCATTCACCGGAAATATTTACAACACTAGAAAATGATATTATTCGTATGTCAAACTGCTCACAGTATATGTGTATTGTTGGTGATATGAATTGTGGTACTAAAAATCTTCCGGATTTTATCATTTTGGACGAATATTTATGTGACAATGATATTATTGACGAGGAATTATTGTTTTCAAATGTACAACGGTGTAAAGTTAGATAGAATATCAATGGATACTGAAACAAACTGTAATGGGTATAAACTCCTGGATTTATGTAAATATAACGGCTTGTATATTGTAATTGGGAGATTAGGCAAAGACAAGGGTATTGGTAAACTGACATGCAGAAATGCCAGTGTTGTTGATTATTGTATTGCATCAGCAGAAACATTCCCATTATTAATAGATTTTGAGGTGCAGGAGTTTGACCCGATCTCGTCCGATGTACACTGTGGCTTATCGTTCAGGTTAGATTGTACAGCACAACTGTCTCCAGTTATAGATGATGACAAAGATGTACATGTACATAAAGTTGTAAAAAGATGAGTTCCTGATAAAAGTGAAACATTTTTATGTAATACCGATAAGGTTGCCATTACCCATCAGTGTACAGAATTAGATGCATGTAAAGACCAAATAGAGCCAAATGACATTAACCAAATTGTAAATAAACTCTCTCAGACGCTGGTTACTGCGGCTGAAACTACTCTAGGTACTGTAACAAATTCTAGACACTCTGTACATAAGCAGAAGCATAAACCCTGGTTTGATGAAAAATGTAAATCATCACATAGATTTTACCACAAGCGTAAACTTATATATGGAAGGACTAAAGACAGTAATAGCAAAGCTATGTACATTTCAGCAAGTAGAGCTTACAGTAAAACCCTAAAGAAGGCATTTAAAACATATCAAAACAAATGTGTCCAACAACTGAGTGAATGTAAGGATAGTAACCCTAAGAATTATTGGGAAATTTTAAAATCATTTGAACCAAAGAAAACAGCAGAAAAAATCAGTATGGACAAAAATTTTAGAATTTTTTAAAGATCTTAATCAAAGTTCTGATGATAATGACAATGTTTTTGTCAAAAACATAAATTATGATAATCATGATGATATCATAGATTGTAGGATTACAGAAGAAGAAATTATGTCAGCGGTCCGTGCATTGAAGAACAATAAGGCTTGTGGGTTGGATGGTATTTACAATGAGCATGATGAGTACATCAAAAGCTCTATTCATGTTATGCTGACGGTTTACGTAAGTTTTTTAACCTCATTTTTGACACTGAAGTTTTACCTGAAGCTTGGCTTGTTGGCAAAATAAAACCAATCTACAAAAACAAAGGAAACCAAGCTGACCCTGACAATTACAGAGGTATTTCTAGCCTAAGCTGTTTAGGTAAATTGTTCACTACACTATTGAATAATCGTTTACAAGCTTACTCAGTTCAGACTAATCTAATATGCGAAGCACAAGCAGGATTTAGAAAAAATTACTCAACAATTGACAATATGTTTATTCTTAAAGCTCTCATTGATATCTATAGAAATCTTAAAAAGAAGTTGTATTGTGTTTTCGTCGATTTTAGCAAAGCTTTAAATACAGTATGGAGGTGTGGTCTGTGGACAAAAATGATAAAGTCTAATATCAAAGGAAAATGTTTTAATGTCATATATAATATGCATCAAAATATCAAATCTTGTGTTTCACATAATAACAAGGTGTCAGGTTTCTTCCCATGTCAAACTGGTGTAAGACAAGGTGAAAATTTGTCACCTTTCCTGTTTGCTTTGTACCTTAATGACCTTGAACAATTTTTATCTGAAAATGACTTTGAAGGACTGCATAATATAAATAACCTTTTAATAGATTCACTTGAACTGTACATAAAACTTTTTCTCATTTTGTATGCCGATGATACTGTTTTAATGGCCGAAAGCCCAGAAGATTTAAGAAAGTGTCTCACTATATTTGAAGAATATTGTACTATGTGGAAACTTAAAGTCAATGTTGACAAAACGACAAGTTGTTATTTTTGCCAAGCGCTCCACAAATAGTCTTCAATTTTATGTTAAATGGCTCGATTCTTCATGTTGTTAAAGAATATGTTTACCTTGGTATTTTATTTACAAACACTGGTAGATTTTGTAAGGCGCTAAAAAGACTGACGGATCAGGCATCTAGAGCAATGTACGCTGTATTTCGTAAAATTAGATTATTAGAAATTCCTTTTGACTGTCAATTGAAATTATTTGATCAACTTGTTCAGCCAGTATTGTTATATGGATCTGAGTTGTGGGGTTTTTGAAAATGCTGTTGTCATTAAATGTGTACATCTTAAATTTTGTAAATATATTCTCAAGTTAAAACAGTCAACACCCGATTACATGGTATATGGTGAACTAGGGAGGTATCCTCTCAGCATTTTCATCAAGATAAGAATGATTTCATATTGGTGCAAGCTAACATCATCACAAACTAGCCTTTCTAGTATAGTATATAAACTTATGTTTC